GCACTCACTCCCCAGCTCTTCCTACCCATGACCATCTCTTCCTCCTTGGTTAAGAAATCACTAATATACTTGGTTTCTCTATAAATTTCCCTCTTCCGTGCATTTCATATAAATGGAATCATAAAATATGTGGTCTTTTATGATAGGCTTCTTTCACTTAGGATAATGTATTCAAAGTTGACCCATGTTTTAGCATGCAGCAGTACCTCATTTGTTTTATTTTTGAATAATAATTATTCGGATATGCTGCCTTTTATTTACCGTTCATCCGTTGGTAAGTATTTGAGTTGTTTTGCTTTTTGCCTGTTATGAATAATGTTGTGATGAGCATTCCTTTACAGGTTTTTGTCTGTGTGCTTCTCTTGGATATGTATGTAGGAATTGAATTCATGAGTCATATGGTAATTCTGTTTAACTTTTTGAAGAACTACCAAACTGTGTTTCCAAAGTGACTATACCATTTTACATACCCACCAGCAATGCATGATGGTTCTGATTTCTCTACTTACTATAGATTTCTAACATACTTTGTTATCTGGAAGGAAAGTTCTCCCAGATTGTTCTTCTCTCTCTCCCAGATTACCTTTGCTATTCTTGAAATTTTGCTGTTCAATCTAAATTTTAGAATTAGTTTTATAGGTTCCAGAGGAATTCCCATAGGAATTTAGACTAGAATTGGATTATAGATTATTCTGGCAGGAGGGAACACCATTATCATATATTTTCAAATTCTTAAGGATATCTATCTCTCAATATATTTAGTTGTTCTGTGGTTACTATGAATAAAGTTTTACAACTATTTAAATTGTTACTTTGCATCTTATAGAATTTATTCCCAATGCATTTTATTGTATTTTTTCTTTAAGTGTTATATTTTAAAAGAAGTTGCTTATATATTTGACAAATGTACAAATAGCACTTACTTGAGGCACTATTCTAAGCAGTAAACCAATATATGAATGTTGTGTGTGTGTGTGTGTGTGTGTGTGATATGTAACTTTCCAACTATGGATTTTAATTGGAATCAACTCCCATTTATGCAATGGTGCTATTTTCCACGTTTAATCCTTATAATGACTTTATTTATTTTTTTTTTTTAATCCTTATAATGACTTTAAAATAGGTATTGAGGGGCGCCTGGGTGGCTCAGATGGTTAAGCATCTGCCTTCAGCTCAGGTCATGATCCCAGGGTACTGGAATCGAGCCCCACATCAGGCTCCTGGCTCAGCGGGGAGCCTGTTTCTCCCTCTCCCTCTGTCTCTCCCCCTGCTCATGCTCTCTCTCTGTATCTCTGTGTCTCAAATGAATAAATAAAGTATTTAAAAAAAATAAAATAGGTATTGAGAAAACTGTAGGTCAGAAAGGGGGAAATACTTGACCAAAGCAAGGAAATAGGAGATTAGACTCTGATCCACCTGGGTCAAACTGAAGAGTTCACTTTTGTTATTTCATTCTAAAGTAGTCATATTTGTATTTGGGATGTTAAACAGTTAATTTTAAGCTAAAATAAACTTTCTCATACACTTTGCTTTACGTAAGTTTTGATAGTTAAGAACACTTTCTTTTTTTTAAGTTTTTTTTTTAAGATTTTTTATTTATTTATTTGAGAGAGAGAGAGCACATGAGAGCAGGGGAGGGTCAGAGGGAGAAGCAGACTCCCTGCTGAGCAGGGAGCCTGATGCAGGACTCGATCCCGGAACTCCAGGATCATGACCTGAGCCCAAGGCAGTAGCTTAACCAGCTGAGCCACCCAGGCGCCCATTTTCTTTAGGATGTGTATTTTCACTCATTTTTACACAAAGGCACTTTGACTCCTACTTACTACAATTAAAAGTCCTTATAAAATAGCAGTGGTTAATGTAATGGGGCAGAAATTTATGGGGACTGAAATACTGAGTACCCCGGGGTATTTTAGATCACATACGTAGAGATTTATATAGGGGATTTTGATTTTTAAAATATGCCTGGTTTGGGCACCTGGTTGCTTAGTCCATTAAGCGTCTGCCTTTGGCTCAGGTCATGATCCCAAGGTCCTGGGATCAAGTCCTGAGTCCGGCTCCCTGCTCGGCTAGGAGTCTGCTTCCTCCTCTGACTCGTGCTCTCTCCCTCTCTCTCTCGCTCTCAAATAAATAAAATCCTAAAAAATAAAATATGCCTGGTTTAGGAAAAAGAAAACACACACATAGATAAAAAATCAAGCACACATCTATATTTGTTTCCTGAGGCTGCCATCACAAATTGCCACAAATTTGGTGGCTTAAAAACAAAAGAACTTTACTTTTTCAGTCTAGAGGTCAAATCCAAAATAGAGCAGGGTCCTGCTCCTCCCAGGTGCTCTAGGAGAGAATCAGTCCCTTGCTTCTTTTAGCTTCTAGTGGCTCCTGAGAGTAATGAGTTAATTTTGTATGTCAACTTGGCTGAGCCATGGTGCCCAGATTTGATCAAATGTTATTCTGGATGTTTCAGTGAGGGTGTTTTGGGATGTGATTTACATTTAAATCGTTGGACTTTTAAAGCAGACTGTGCTCCATAATGTGAATGGGCCTCATCCAATTAAATTGAAGGCTGAAATAGAATGTCTTCCAAGGAAGAGGAAATTCTGACTTCAGACTTTATCTGCAATAAAGGTTCTTCCTGGTCCTCCAGCCTGACTCACTTTGGACTCAAACTGCAACTCTTTTCTGAGCCTCCAGCCTGCCAACCTCCCCTATGAGATTTTGGATTCACCAGCTCTCCACAGTCACATGAGCCAATTCCTTAAAATAAATCTCCTTCTCTGTATATACACATCTTTTGGTTTTGTTTCTCTGCAGAATTCTGACTAATACACTGGGCTTGTGGCCACAAGCCTCCAAACTCTGCCTCTATCTTCATAATACTTTCTCCTCTGTGTCTGATGTCCCTCAGTCTCTCTCTTATGATATTTGCGATGGTCTTTAGGGTCCACCCAGATATTCCAGAGTAATCCCTTCATCTCAGATAGTTTTATTCAGTCACACCTGCAAAGATTCTTGTTCTAAATAAGGCAACGTTTAAAAATTCCTGGCATTAAGTGTTGTCTTTGGGTGGCCACCATTCAGCACACTGCAACTTTTAAGCATCAAAGCCTATACTGTACAAAAAAACCAAAAAACAAAACCAGGGTTTTTAAAGGCCTGACTCTGCTGCTTGGACTAACTACAGTTTTGTAGTTAATTTGTCAGATTCTTTTTGATTTTTTTTTTCATAGAGTTAATATCTCATGGAAACAGTATATGTGTTTTGCTGTTTGTTTCTCCTCAGAGCAAGTAAAGTAATACTAAAAGGATCATGTGTTTTGGTTTTTCCATATATATATATATATACATATATATATATATATATATATATTTGTATATATATATATTCATCCAGATGGCAAGGCAGAGTGGAAGATGCTTTGGATAGGAAAGCAGGGACATGGATTCCAGACTGAATACACACTAACTAGAGGTGTGACTTTGTAAAAGTCATTTTCTTCAGTATATTTTCCTCCTTTATAAAATATATCAGTTTAGTTATATAGTCTTTGTGGTACTTTATTATTCTAAAATTTTATGAACTTGCATCTATAAACCTCTCTCTTTTATGATTATATCTTTTTTTTAAAGATTTTATTTATTTATTTGAGAGAGAGAGAATGAGAGATAGAGAGCACGAGAGGGAAGAGGGTCAGAGCAAGAAGCAGACTCCCTGCTGAGCAGGAAGCCCGACGTGGGACTCTATCCCAGGACTCCAGGATCATGACCTGAGCCGAAGGCAGTCGCTTAACCAACTGAGCTACCCAGGCGCCCTATATCTTCTTATGGCAGAATAGCTTATCCAGCTGTTTCTGATTATTCAACTCACCTACAAACCAGGTTGTCTGAGTGAATTACTGGAATATTCTAAAAATGACTCCACAGTCTGACATTTTAAAGGGGGCCAAATCATCTTTTTTTTTTTTTAAAGATTTTATTTATTTATTCATGAGAGACAGACAGAGAGAGAGAGAGAGAGAGAGAGGCAGAGGGAGAAGCAGGCTCCCAAGGAGCAGGGAGCCCGATGCGGGACTCGATCCCAGGACCCTGGGATCATGACCTGAGCCGAAGGCAGACGCTTAACCATCTGAGCCACCCAGGTGCCCGGGGCTAAATCATCTTGAAATACAACCAACATATGTTAAACTATGTTAACCCATTTAACATAACAATTTTGTATCAAATTAAAACAATATATTTAACATCAGTATTAAAAGAGCAAATCACAGATGATGAATTCTCACTGGACATATTATGCACTGCACATAAAGTAATCAGACTGTGTACTAACAGTATGATAAAAACTTGTTTTTTTCTTGTCAGTTCCTGTACACAAAAGTCAGGGGGAAAAAGACCAATTTTCAAAAACCTGCATGCACATAAATGTCATGAATCTTTTCAAAATTTCTACAGATAACAATATCTGTTGTGTAATTTGTGGATTAGAATTTAGAAGTCAAGGACTGTTCATCTGTATTTTATATAAGTGTCAGATGCAAAAAGCCAGTCACTGAATGAATTTTATGATGATAATGATGATGATGATCACAGTGCTGAAAAACTAGGAAGTTAGCATTATTTTTCAGTGATGCCAATTATCCAGATTTTAATAGTCTTAATAATGTGTCTCTTTGATGCTTTGATAAGAGATAGTCCCATAGGGCTAGAATTTTTTTAAAGTGTTTGTGTTTGGCAAATGTTGCACTGAGGCCACACAAAATTAACTCTGAAGATTTGACTAAATATTTGATGCCTTCATGAGCAGTCTTCAAGAAGAAATTCTGAGGCCATTTCAATTTTATCTCAATCAAATATCCTCTGACTGTTCCCTTAGCATATTTCATATAGGTTGTAGTCAAGTTACAAAGAGAATAATTGAAATCAACAGTAATAGAATAATTTTGTTTTAGGAAAATATTTCAACTGCGTCTTGTACTCTTCCTGCACATCTTTTATTTGTTCTTAATTTGAGTGTGATGAACTGCAAGTATTTTTGCTGCTAATGCTTCCTGAGGAATGGTCGTATCTGCCAAAATAAAATGAAATTCAGCTGCTTAATGGGGTTTCTCTTTGTAGATATTTTAAGTGAACACATTGTCAGTAGACTCAAACGAGCTTTATTTAATCTAGAATGTGTGAGGGCAAGAATGTGTAAGGAAAGAAGATCAAACTGGCGAGACAGTCTGTAGAGTCAGAAAAACCTACTTTTCTCCATGACGCTTCTTAGAAAGTCAGTGAAGTGTAGTATCTAAGAGCGGAAGTGGATCGTCTGGGCTTGACTGCCGATTCCATTGTTGGACAAGCTGTGTAACACTTGGCAAGTTACTGCACTTCTCTGTGCCTTCATTTCTGCAACTGAGAAATGGAGATGATGATTAGATCTACTTTACAGGTTTGGGATAAGGATTAAGTGAGTACTAGTTCTGAGTAAGTGAGTAATAAACATACATTACCGATATTCTCATTACTTACAAAGAAATGCTCTTTTCCATAAATATAAATGATCCTTTCTACTTTCTAAAGGAACTTCCCAATTGTACTGCCATTGGTAGGCAGCTTGTATTTTTCAAAAGTATCCACAGTAATATCCTGCATGCCTTTCTAAAACTTTGCAACTTCTCAATCAAACGATGGAGTCTAATACCTACCTTAAGCACTGGCTGGTTTTAATGACTCATTATAATGAATAGAATATAGAATGTGGCAAGAGAGTCACTGTGTGACCTCTGAGGCTGGTCATAGAAGGTGGTAGAGTTTCTGTCCCTCTTTCCCTCCCAATTCTTTCTGTGTCTCCAGATGTTTACCCTGGGAAGCCAGCCCCCATGCCATGAAGAAGCCCAGGCCACCCAGAGAGACCATATGTAGTTGTTCCAGCTGACTGTCCCAGGTAGGGACTCACTGCCCCCCAGACATGTGAGTGAGTAAGGCTTCTGATAATCTCAGCATTACAGCTGATGCCAGTGGAGCTGAGAGGAGCTTTCCTTACCAAAGCCTGCCCAAATTGCAGATTAATGAATAAAATAAATGGTATTGTTTTAAGCCACACATTTTTGTGATGATGTGTTATACAGCAGAAGAGTAGGCAATGTATGGTAAATTAGAAAGTGCCTGCAAAAATATAAGGGGTTGTGATGTTAATTTTATGTGTTGTAAAACTTGACTGGGCCCAAGGATGCCCAGATAGCTGGTGACATACTATTTCTGGGGGTGTCCGTGACAGTGTGTCTGGAAGAGATTAACATTTAAATCAGAAGATTCACCTTACCTGTGCTGGTAGACATGATCCCGTCCTGAAGAGAACAAAAAGGCAGAGGAAGAACACATTTACTCTCTGGGCTTGAGCTAGGACATGCATCTTCTGCCCTTGAACATCGGTGCTCCTGGTTCTTGCTGCTTCAGATTGGATTTGCATCATTAGCTCCCCTGGTTCCCGGGCCTTCACGCTCAGACTGGAACCACACTGCTGGCTTTCTTGTTTCTCCAGCGTGCAGACAGCTGGTCTTAGGACTTCACAGCCTCCATAACTGTATAATCCAATTTCTGTAATAAATTTCCTCTTACATATCTCTCTGGGTACCCTCTTGGTTCTCCGTTGGAGAACGCTAATACACTGAGTAATGCTTAAGTCTACCCAGGCATAAGTAATGATAAAGTTTAAATAAAGAGATGAAAATAAAAATATGGCAGACATCTGTACTTGAATCAGTAGGATAGAGATCCGGTTTGGGAGTCTGACATCTCTGGTTTTAAATCCTAGCTCCGGTCTTACCTCATGGGGGAAATTAGTGCATGTAATTTTTCCTTTTTTGCTTAAGTTTCCTTGGGACTGTGGGTAGAATAGAAAATGATAAGGATAAAAACAGGTAAGAAATAGAGTAAAACCTTGATACATGTCAGCTATTGTTTTCATTTGTTCACCTGACAATATTTTTAGCAAGTGTCCTCTATGTTTCAGGCACTTCTGTAGCCCCTGAGAATACACTAGCAGACACCTTTACTCCCGCTTGGAGCTCAGAATTGCTACACAAAGACCCATTGTTTTGCTTTTATGTATCAATGTTGACCTGTTATTACCTTATACTGTTTGAGTTTTTCTAGTGTGTGAACTAATTCCCTAACTCTTGTTTAACCTTCTCACTATCACCTCCTTCCTATTATGGAGCCCCTTAATAATGATATGTTCAGAAAGCAAATCTGAGCATATATTTTAATCAAATCCTTAGCCACTCCTCCATCACCTTCAGTAAACTTCTATGTATAACTCTTTCTGATTTCATTACTACAAGATCTGTTCATTCTGTTTTCCACTGATGCATTTGAGAAATATTATTGAACTCCTATCAGACACTGTGGCATTGTGGACATACTGGGAATCACTGGTGAGCAAGACAGAATAGCCCCTGCCCTCATGGGACTTACATCCTATCTAGGACAATTAGAGAAGCTATAATAATTCTATTATGATTAAAGGTGATCTGGGAGGACAATATATGGGGAACTAAAGAGTTCAGTGTTTCTGGGGAAAATGTGTTCATTTTGAGACTTGGAATATTAGTAGAAGTGAGCTGGCTTCATCTGCCAATACCTGTCTTAGTCCGCTGAGGGAGCTATAACAAAATGCATTAGATTGGATGGCTCATATACAACAGGAATTTATTTTTCACAATGCTGGAGACTAGAAGCCCAAGAATAGTGTGCCAGCATGATTGGGTGATGGCCCTCTTTCTGGTTCATAGCCAGCACCTGCTCACTGTGTCCTTGCATGATGGAAGGGGCTACTGATCTCTCCATAACCTCTTTCATAAGGCACTAATTCCATTCATGAGTCTTCTACCCTCTGGATAGCATTTCCCAAAGGCCCATCGACAAATCACCTTTAGGAGTTAGGATTTCAACATGAATTTTGGGGAAACACAGACATTCAGATCATAGCATAATCATTTTATAAATTGCTCTCCAGCAAGGCCAAAGAGCTTGTAGCATTGAGCTTTCTCAGGTTTCCAAGTTACTGAATGGCTCATTCTTCTCCGTATAATTTACCCCACCTCCATTTTATCTTGACCAGTGTCTACCCTTTCAATTCCCCATTCACCTCTGGTAGCTAAATTCATGTCTTCTACCTGATCTTGTACACATTGCATTAAATAAACACATTGCATATTGCCATATGGGCTGGAATGAGTTACATTAATCTCTCTATTATTCTGTTGTGTTTTCCTAAAGGGTAGGATCCTTTTTTTTTAAATTTATTTTTCTTTGTGCTTTTGGTACTGTCTCTGGAACATGGTATGCTCTCATTTGAAATGTTTAAATGAGGGTATCCTGGGTGGCTCAGTCTGTTAAGCGTCCAACTTTTGGTTTAAGCTCAGGTCATGATCTCAGGGTCATGAGATTGAGCCCCACATAGGACCCCACCCTGGGCATGGAGCCCGCTTAAGATTCTCTCTCTCCCTCTGCCCCTCTAGCCCTGCCCTCCCCCCAACTTGTGAGCACATGCCCTCTCTCTCTCTAAAAAATAAAAAGATTTTAAATGAATAACTGTTTAATTCTCTAAAATTAAATTTAATGCCAAATAGCCAAATTGTGTTTGTCTTTCTCATAAGTGATTCACTTAAGTTCCCTATAGAATGTAACAATGGTAAAAGAAACACTTGGCAACACCCTTTATAACACAGAAGTACATTAACTCATAGACTCAGAGGTAGTCATTTATGATCTATTTTCTTTTCATAGCAATGGTGCTTAGAAATAAAAGATGGTGACAATAACCTTCTAAAGCAAAATCATACCAAACATTTGGTTTTGGAATGAAACATGTATAAGGGAAATTGACTAGCTGGAAAAACTGGTATTTCATTGATTGTGCTATCAAAATAAGTGTTTTTTTGAGGGTACTAGAAGGGAAGGAAATCACTTTCCTTAATGTGGTCTTGTCAGGATTTTCTATAAGTATTATTCATGTTTTCCCAGTTTAAGGTGGCAGGGGAGTTAGGGAAGGAAAGGTCAAAATCACAAAATCTGCTGCAATTTGATTTGCAATTATTTTTTTTTAAATTTGCCAACTGTTCACATTTTTCTGTGAACTTTTTTATAAAGGAAAAATACAATTTTTCACAGCTGTCATTGGATAATTTGATTTACTAGTGCCACTGAATAATAAGCAACTAGATTCACACTGAGTGTTCTATTGCAATTAGTATTTTAGTGAAAATGGCCTGTATCTGGGTCCTGGACACCCCACTGCCTGCTGACATGGCCATTTCAAGCTCTTCATGGTTGATTATGGTTTGCTGTCTCCCACAGATTTTTTTTAAGACTTTATTTTTTCTAGAGTAGTTTTAGATTCATAGCAAAATTAATAGGAAGGTGTGGAAATTTCCTATATACTTCCTGCCCCCACACAAACACAGCCTCCCCTTTTCTCAGTATACAACACCAGAGTGGTACATTTGTTATAACTGATGAACCCACATCAACACATCATTATCACCCAAATGCCATAGTTCACATTAGGATTCACTCTTGGTGTTGTACATTTTGAGGCTTTGCACAAATGTATAATGCCATATATCCATTGTTATGATATCATACAGAGTAATTTCACTGACTTAAATATCTTCTGTGATCCACCTATTCATCTCTTACTTTCTTCCACAACCACTGACAACCACTGATTTTTTTTTTTTATCTCCTCAATTTCGCCTTTTCCAGAATGCCATGTAGTTGGAATCATATAATTGGAATCATTGTCAGATTGGCTTCTTTCACTTGGTAATACGTACTTAAGTTTCTTCCATGTCTTTCCATGGCTTGCTAGCTCACTTATTTTTAGTACTGACTAATATTTCATTTTCTTGATCTACCAGAATTTCATTGACTGAAGCATATCTTGGTTGTTTCCAGGTTTTGAGAGTTATGAATAAACCTGTTATAAATACGCATGTGGAGGTTTTGTGTGGACATAAGTTTTCAACTCCTTCAGATAAATACCAAGAGGCATGATTGCTGGAGTGTATGTTAAGAGTATGTTTAGTTCTAGGGTGCCTGGGTGGCTCAGTTGGTTAAGCAACTGCCTTCAGCTCAGGTCATGATCCTGGGGTCCTGGGATTGAGTCCCTCATCGGACTCCCTGCTCGGCGAGGAGCCTGCTTCTCCCTCTGATCCTCCCCCCTCTCATGTACTCTCTCTCTCATTCTCGCTCTCTCAAATAAGTAAATCTTTTTTTTTTTAAAGAGTATGTTTAGTTCTATAAGAAACCATCAAACTGTCTTCCAAATTGGCTGTACCATTTTGCGTCCTCCACCCCAGCAATGAATGAACGTTCTGGTTACTCAAAGCCTTACCATTATTTGGTGTTTTCAGTGTTCTGGATTTTGGCTGTTCTAACAGATGTGTAGTGGTATTTCATTGCCATTTTAACTTATATTTACCTAATGAAATGAAAATGAAATTGTTCACTGGCTCTAAAATTTGTGATGGAAATAATATAATAATTACAAAAGAAAATTATAAAAATACAGCAAGGGTTGAAGATTTGAATTAATGTTAGTAATTTAAACGATCAGTTTGACAACGATATGTTCATGCATCATCCTCATGCCCATTTTAACCTAAGGAAACTGAGACTTAAAGAAGTTATTTAACTTGATCCATGATCACAGTGATTAAGGGGACAAAACTGAGATTGGGAACTCCTTCTGACTCTAGATCT